AGGGTTTAAAAATCTTGCCGGATACTTTCAAAATCCACCGTAATCACTAATAACTTCTGCTTCTGCCCCAAAGCGCCGTGAGCAGAGTCGCCTCTTCGGCCTTCTCCACCTTTTCTCTCTCCCCTGCTGCCTTTATGGGGACGGCGGGGGCGATTCGTGGCTCAGCTCTGGGCTTGCTCTTCGTTTCCTCGGGCACTGGCGCCGGGCGCGGGGTAAGGAGCTGTCGCCATCACCGGACTCCTGCTGTTTTGTTCCCGTCCTCACCTGCCCCTTCATCTCGGGCTGCTTCTTCCTCCATCTACATCACGCGACGGGGTTTTCATCCCGGCGGGGGCGGATGCTGTAACATGAACAATAGCAGCTTTCCTGTGACATCATTCCATCCTGACACAGGCCGGCGTGGATCTGGTCACCAACAAAACAGCAGCGGCTTGGTCCCGCTCTTCCACAGCACCTACATGAACCTTAATGTTCCCCAAAAAAGCAGGCCAGGCATTTTTTTCCATAGAAAAACGCCATTTGAAAGCGCCGCCAGAGTTTTCTGCGCCGTTGTGCTTTCTGCTCTTTCTGTCTTTGTTTTTTTGTTTGTGTAACGTTTTCCCAAGCGGCGAGGCCGGGATCCGGGGCCTGCTGTGCGATCCATCACCTGACGCCCTTTGCCTTTTCTTTTATCCTCGTGCAGGGTTTGTAGCGTGGATTCACAGCTGGGGATGCTTTTACAGCCCGTTGGCGTGGGAGGGAGAGGAGGAGTCGCCGGGACTGGTGGAGCTTGAACTCCCCCAGACTAAACTCGCATCTGGGCTTTGCTAAGCCGTGCTGCTGTTGGGGTTGAAATAGTCGAGTTATTCTCCCTCCTAAATGGCTGCCAGGGGAAATTTTGCAGCTTCTAATTATGGTGCTGATGGAAAACCAGCCCCGGTAATTAAAAATCTTTGTTTCGGAGCGTTGAAGTCTCCGTCGGAAGATTTTAATAAGGGGTGAGGCGTCGCAGATGGCTGGGCTCTGCGCGGCAGCGTGTTCTGCCAGGCTGAAGCTGCGCTGCCGTAACCGGGAACCTTGCGCTCCCATCCCGTGGCACTAACTTCATGCTGCAGCTCCTGTTAATTAACTGCTAATTATGCGTGGGGTGGACTCTGCCCTGCCCTGGTGTCAGCAGTCTCCAGCCCTCGGCTCCGTGGTTGCTTTGGTTCCCGAGTTTTGGCGTCTCCTGCTCTTTGGTGCTGTTTTCCCTACCCACCTAGTGAAATATTTGGGAATACGATAACGAGGCATACAGATATTGTTACAGTTCCACGCGATAATTTGGGGATTAATAGCCCCGAAACTTGTTGCCAACACTGGGCAAGGACCACCTGCTTATCTCAATGCAGTGCTCGACGCCGTTGGGGTACGAATCCTGTTGGGTTTTATCGAGCGTTTCTCTGGGAGGGACAGCGGGATGGGGATGGGCGCTGAGGCCTCCGGGCTGTTCCGACGATAAACCAGCCGCGCCGCGTGCAGCTCGCTCTAGATTTCAAGCCGAACGCATCGAGCTTTGGCACTCTGAGCGTGCGAGCCACGTTTTGTCCCTGAGAGCTTTATCCCCGAGGGGCCGCTTCCAAGTGTGCGGCTGTGTCAGTGCGTGCGCACGGACGTGCCACTGCCCTTGGGAAGGGAGCTGGGCTTAAGGGAGCTGGCTTAAAAACGGAGGTGATCTCCAGCTGAGGAGCCAGACGTTGCTCTTGGAGGAGCGTCTGGTGGGTTTAATCTGCAGAACAGAAGGGAAACTTGGAAGTTCCAGGTGGGTGGTTTTCCTTGCGGGAGCTGTCTGTGGGGTGTCAGTGGCTGGAGACCCCCTGATGAAGCGTTTGGCCGCTCGTTTATTCGAGATGGAGACGAAAAAACAATGCAGAGGAAACTGGACGGCGCTTCGGAGCTCACGCTCCGATTTCCCCTGGCGACGGTCCCGCTGTTCCCGCGCGCTAACGAAGGCTCCCGCAGGGTTCCACGCCAGCCGACCGCGTTTCCTTCTGGAAAGAGCTGCTTAGAAATGGGCAGTAGGGTTATTTTTGCTCATCTCTCCTTGCTTTTGCAGCTGTTTGACCTTTAATCTCGGCTTTTCGGACCCGTTAGGCCTTCATAGGAAGCCTGACTTTGAGCCGGGCATCCCGTCTCCCCTAATGAGCCACGCTGGCTTCTTTGGTGCTGTATCCCCATGCGGTGGAGATGGGCGGGAGGCAGACGAGGCCTTTCAGCTAATCTCCCTCCCTTATCTTGTCTCCCTGTTTTGAGGAGCTGCAGGGAAAGACGTTGTTCCCTCTTCAGAATAAGTAACTTCGATTGATTGCGTTAAGGGTGAATGCAACGAGCAGTGACGGAGTCAGCGGGGAGCCTGGATCCGTGCTCTGCAATCGCCCTGCGTCGGTGTTTTTTTTCAATTGTTTGAAGGAGCCTGAAGACACGTGTTAATGCAGCCTGGTGTGGGGAGGGGGCAGCCACGCGTCACGGTGGTCTCTTCCCATGGCCTTAAAATACAAGAGGAGGGTTACGAGCCCTGTTGAGACAAGCTGAGATGCCATCAGCCATGCAAAAAGCCTGCGGAGGAGCCTGAAGTTGGGCTTGGCTGCCTGGAGCTCTCTAAATCTCTGAATTAGACGCTGGACTGGAGTTTATCTGTGAGGAAGGAACCCGTCCTGCTGTTGTATCTGTTTCAGCGGGTGTCAAAGTAGCTTGGCCTTGCTGCCTGAGGGGTCTGAAGCGACTCAGTTCTGTCGTTTAGCAGGGAGGGGCACAAGGAAATCTAAAATACTACATTAAAATGACATTAGGAGCTGTATTAAAAGCTGTCCCATTGACGTAGCGATGAAACAGGCATTGACTGGCCCCTCTGTGCAGCCCTTGTCGTGGCAGTACGAGCGTGCTGAGGGCGCCGAGCCTCCCCCGGCCCCGCTCCGGCTCTTGCCGGGACGTTCCGACCAACGATGACGGCGTAAAGACATTTTCAGAGCCGTATCAAACCCGGGCATTGTGGCGGCCGCTCGGCCCGGGGCTGACAATGGAGCCGTTGTGGTGGGGGCAGCGGGGAGGCCCTCCCCTCGACAGCACCGTCGAGGAACCAGCCCTCAATGGGGCATTATGAGTCCAGCGCACGGCCTTGTTGGGGCTCCCGGCAGCTGTAAATAAAGCCGGGGCTAAGGCGGGCGAGGGCAGGGCTGGAGGTGGCCAGTCCTCACTGAGAAATCCATCGCCTGCATCAGGCACATCCCTTCTCCCGGTGAGATGCTGAAATCGCACCAGAAAGCGCTTCGGGAACCCCAAAATGCAGCTAAAACTCCTCATTTACCCCAAGCAGGCTCAAGGTGGCTCGCTGCCATTTTTAAGCCGGTGCTAGGCTGTGTCTAAGCCTCTTCGAGGGAGAATTTATCCACAGGGTAGGATGGAGATGAGAGCGGCCTGTTCCTAGGGCTTTTCCACAGATATTCCCCGGGTCTGGTGTAACTTGGGTGCCTGCGTGGAACCGGCCACGCCAAGGCGGGACAGTGGCGCTGTGGGTGTAAATCACAGCTTTGGTTAAAGCGACCTGGGAGGGTTTTATGGCTGCAATCGTCAGAGGAACGGCAGTTTAATCGCAAGGTGTCGCTTCAGATAGAGGAGGAGGGAAGCTTGTGTTCTCAGCAGGCAGAGCTGGCTGAAAATGGAGCAAAAAGAAGGGAATTTGGGAGCGAGGCGGGTGCGTGTTAGTGAAAACACATCTCGGAGGGACACTGGGACGTGGCATGGCCGCCCGGTGGGTCTCCTCCTGGGGAGTTCAGGGTGTCTTTTCCCTGGATTTTGGGGAAGAGCCGCCACAGGGTCGCTGGTGAAGAATCTGCCAAGATAAATTGGAGCCTGCAAATGGTGAGGGGATGGGACCGGCAGTGCTCGCCGCCCAGGAGCCAGCTCTCAGGTGCCCTTTGCCACAGGAGGTTTTACAGGGGACAGGAGGTATTAAATGTTCTTCCTCCAGCAGTGACCTTTGTCTTTGTGCTCTCTGCGAGGCGGCGTTTCCTGGCATCGCACGCGAAGCGGAGGCAGAGGATTACCCTGGATAACCAGGTGAATGGGAAAATCCGGGTTTAACGTCATTCAAACACGGGTTTGACCTCACTCCTTGGCTCTTACGTCTCTGGGGTGAGTGAGCCCTGCGAGGTCGTGCTTTGTACCACCTGCCCCACGGCTCTGAGTCACTTTAATGTTTAAAAAACTGCTGAAGGGACCTTCTGGCAGGCTCCGGTTTCCCCCTTGGTGTTGCAGTTGGTGTTTGCTCGTGAAGGAGATGGTTCCTGTCAACCCTGGCTGCAAAATACGTGCATGGCAACAAGATTACTGGGTTCAGTTTTGGGCCCCTCACCCCAAAAAGGCCATTGAGTGACTCGAGCGTGGCCAGAGAAGGGCAA